TTTATGACCCATCCAACATCATCTCCTTTAGATGGTGATTTTTTTAAGGATAATTTTTGAGTAGAGGAGTGTATACAAACACGTTAATGATGTAATCATGTTATAAGGTTGTATTTAATAGCACCATTTATAAAGAGGAAATATATTTGTGGAGAAGTGGCAATTTTAATTCTTTTGCTTCCTTCACAAGTAAATATTTACCTCCTCGTCTGTTAACATTTTACTCCCTTGGACATCTCCTCAGTTTAATGTTTTCTTGCTATTTGCCATTACTATAACTTATTAGATCTCTTGAACATCTTTTGACTAGATCTACCCACTTAGGAAATGACAGAAGGAGACAAATACTATCTTTCAAGGGATGAAATATGAAGATAAATCACACCCTATGGTGTGGCTAGCTTCATATTCTTCATCTTCTTCATAAATTATTCTCTTCCACAATTTAACACTACACATTTTAGTAAAAGCTTATGATCCAGGCTGCCTACTTATACTGTAAACCAAATTTAATAGTAACTTCCTGGCTTTAATTAAACTTCTCTCCTTATAAATCTCAGCAAGGTGATCAGATTGCTGGAGAAAGCAAGCACCCAACAGTGCTAACATAAAGGTATTAAACAGATTAAGCAGACATAATCTCTAATATTCTGCAGGAGGGAAAATCAGCACTCTGCACAGGTACCCATTCTACATTCAAGAGCGTACGTATGCCCAGAGCATCCAGCCCTCAGTGAGTTTCTTTGCTAGAAGAGTTGAACATTTCTTGGACAGTTCAGTTTTGATCAACTAGACCACAGACTGAAGATGGTTTCTTCTGGCTCAACAATTTTTGGTTTCTTACAAGTTGATACTGTTTCACTTTCCTAGTAAATGGAATCACACCATCTTTTTGAAGGATTATCTGTACTTTCCCCTTCTTCCCTTATCTACCTTCTTTGTGGGTGATAGTGTTACAAAGACTATATTCTGTGGATTCAGTCATTAATTAGAGAGAACCTGAAGTTCCTCATAGGACTGCTTTGAAAAAGGGAGCCTTCCTTAGGAATAGGGTCTTTTAAAAGTGCAGATCAGTTAATCTTTTTAAGAAGCAAGCTCAAACAAAAATATTACTGTTCAGATCTAGAAAAGAGTCCCAATTTCTCATCTGTCCTCAAAATATTATAGAAATCCCCATGAAGGGGGAAAGAAAGAAAGAAAGAAAGAAAGAAAGAAAGAAAGAAAGAAAGAAAGAAAGAAAGAAAGGGCCTGAAAAGAAAATCAACCCATTCCCTATGCTTCTATATTTTTTCTCCCATATTTGGAACTTCCAAACTGGGTGCTCTGTGGGTATGTGTGATTAATTCCCCCTTTTTCTCCTGCAGTTCTTCTATCACTATAATGTTCTTGAGTCTTTGTATTTAGTATTATTATTTGGAAAAGAATTAAGCCAGAGAAAGTTTAATCATCTACATTTTTACTTTTTGTGAAGCAAAATGTAGGCTCAGTAGACACTAGCTAGGCTCAAACACTGTTCAAAGTGCAGCTCAGACTGTCACTGCTTGTTATTTTTATAAACCAGACCCTAATTCTGATGGACCCCAAAGAATGGGCTGCAGTGACTAAGGAAGCAGCACGAGGCAACTGGCTTCGGCTGGACGTTATCTCATTTGGAACACATTTCAAATTTTAGAACAGATTTCTAAATTGGATGTTGAAACCTGCAGACTGTCAGCAGAAGAGGCTGATTCGCCCTATAGTACTTATCTTATTCCAAGTTCCAGGCAGTTTTTTAAGAGAGGAGGTTAGCTAAAATGTGTTGTGGATATATCAAAGAGAAATTACAATACATACACACAACAACAACAACAACCAGAATAGGGGCAACACACGCACCTAAACACCTTGTGGGCTATTTATATATGATTATTTGAATTCTTTTTCTGCAAATAAGTCTTTAGTGGTGGGAAATCTTCAAGTGATACTTTCTAAGTCATAACTATCAGGTTATTATAATTATGAAGTGAATTGGAATTTAGAAAGTAGATCCTTGACAAGGTCAGAAATAGGCAAATCTTATATCAAAGGTAGTGAAATCTTTATTATCATAGACCAGATACTGAAAATTTACATACCCAGCAAAGTATAAAAATAGTCACGAGTCTCTTAAGTAAGGGAACTATAGGAATGATAGTAATCATGGCTTTGACCTGGCATGAATATCAAGATGGTGCTTGGAGAATGCTAACTTATCTATGGAGAAAAGGTTACTCTTATGAGCTACAGGGAGAAATGCATGGAGTGACCCACTAGAGGTCCCTTCCAACTTAAAAAAAGTTTCACTAGTTCAAAAGATGCAGCCTTAGCAAGTTGGCATTCATGACTGCAAAACAAGTAGGGCCAGAAAGGGGACCAAACAGTAATTCCTTGGGAAGATACATATTTGTCACAGTTTATCTCTCTTCCTCTCTCTTTTTAATCCCCTTTGTGAGGCACTCAATTAGACTAATTAGACATTTAGACTTGTTCCAACTTACTGATACAGTAAGGAAGTATCATTTCATGCCTTGTGATGGTAGCTGCACTTTCTAGAAATTTTAGCTGTTTTCCAGTATCTCAAGCAGTATTTTGCAAGATAATTTTTTTTTTTCTTAAAAGGGAAGAATGCCTCACAGTAAGTTTCTCTTTGCAAAGCTGATGGAAGTGGTGGGAGGAGGTAAAGGTATACATTTTTGGTAGAAAATGATTTTGTTTTCATATATTATCTTTGCAGAGTTAGCATTGAGAAATGTAATTGCAATAAATTGGTGTAAAAGCCAGCTAGTAAAGGGATTAAAAGTCCCTCTGGAGACACCAGCCTGTCTCTTCTAATGGCACCAAAAGATAATTGTGGACAAATAAGATAGAACTAAATCATTGCCATTTTCCTTTAAAAATGTGCTGCTACCTCTTATTTTTTTTTTCTGAAGAAACTGGTTACTTCCTCTGCTTCAAATGTAGTGGCATGAACCATCAAACTAGGTAGGAAGAGAACTGCCTTTTATTTTGCCCCAATATCTTTTTAATTAGAACACAGCAAAAAGCAAAAGGGGATGATGTACAATCCTAGTGATCGTATTTTGCAAATCAATTGTTGGATTTCTTTTAAGTTTTTGAGCTGTGCATTGAAAATTTGGCCTCTGGCATATACTTTGCCCTCCTCTTTATGACATCATGAAGACATCTGCTTGATGGTATCCCCTTTCTTCACATAGCTGGTTTTCCGGTTCTTTAAAATAGCAAACACAGAGCCCTGCAAGTGCTAGTACACAAAAGGCGATGCTCAAGCTAAACTGAAAGAGATTTTTTTTTTCTTTTCTTTTCTAAAGTAGAATCCTGAGGGTTTTCCTTTTCAGGTAAATCTGTCGGCAAGAAAAGAAAGGAAATAAGCAGCCCTTGGCCACCATTCACACAAAGGTATTCATTACTCATTCTTGGAAGAGTTGTGCATTAACTAGGTGTATCTCTGGGTTCCTTCCCCAACACCAGGAGGAGTTTGCACTCCCTGGATAATTAACCAGTCAGAAAGCCCATATTTTGTGACTGCACCCCACTTCTCCCCCAGCAACTACATGTGTACACCACAATCACTCCAGCAACATTGTTGCGGGCGGGGGGAGGGGGACCACACAAACACACATAATAAACGTTTTCTTTCCCACATTATGTGTTTCTGTAAGTGAAAATGAAGATGGCCTGGAAACACAGGATGATGAACCTCTACACTGTGACTATCTTAATTACGATTTCTTAAAAAAAAAAAAGTGAAAGAGGAGAAAATGTAAGGCTATTCCGGATGATTAAACTTCTTGGTTCTCATTCTCAGTAGTAGTTAACTCAGGTGACTAGCTCTTGTACTCACAGAGACCTGCATTTAACTCTCTATAAAATATGGATTTTATTGCAGCAGCGACAACAGTTCTCAGTACCACGCTGACCTCTTCAGCATCTCCTATCTCGAGATGTATGGTAACTCTTGGCAGGAGAATATCTAACTACAGAAGTAATCCCAGCTCTGCAACTGCTGCAGTACACAACATTGCAACACCCCCTCTCAGTAAATTCCAGATGATCGCACTGGGGGCTTCACTTTTCTTGCATCTGAAACCTAAAAACCAGGAGCTGCTTGCCAACTAGTCTGAGAAAGGCGTTATCTACCCCCCAGATTTGTGCCTGGCTAGCTGTGGAAGAGAACAGGCGGGCTGCGTCTTGCACATGACTTTTCCCTGGACAGTGTGCTCCATTTTCGGAGTCCAATGTTGGACTTTCCTTGCAACCTAAGCATTTGTGTCCTACGTGAACCGGCAGACGTGGCCCCGAACGCGCAAGCTAACAGTTCGCTTTAGGCTCCTTCTCTCGACCAAACCATCGTTTTACTTTAAGTTTTCCTTATTGGGAGCATTCCAGAGTTTTCAGACTACCTGAATTTCTGCGTTACTCCCAAAGCCAAGAGCTATAACTCAGCCCAAGCGGGCACCACATAGACCCTTGTACTGTGAGCAGGTGAAAATAAATCAAGCCCCCGAACAGTTCCACCGGTCCTACACGCACCAGCGCCCTTGGTAATTGACCAGCCAACTTTGCAAATGCTGGAGCTCCCCTGGCAGCCTCCGCCGGCGGAGAGCAACGCAGCTGGTTCACCCGCGGACCCGCTCCATGTGCCTCGGTCAAACCCCACGGCAGATCGGTCTTACCAGCAGGCGGAGGAGCGGCGCCCAGGCTCCCCGGGAAGCGGCGCCGGTCCTGGGCAGGGGCAGCAGCGCCGCCAGCGCAGCCGGACCCGCGCTCCCGCCCCAACCCCGGCTCGCAGGCTGAGCATCCCTCCCAACTCCGGCGCGCGGCACCCACCCGGCGGAGAGGGATCTCTCTCTCTGATTGGCTTCCATCAACGCTACAGAATTAAAAAAAAAAAAAAAAAAAAAAAAAAAAAAAAGGAAAATGCATGCACATCCACCAGCACCGTCTACGGAGACCGAACGCACCTCTGCTCGCCTTTCTGTGCCCGGGAGACCCTGCGACCCGCCCAGGCTGCTCTTGCCTCTGCCGCCGCCGCCGCCGCGGTCGCGGGCACTGCGTTCTTACTGTCGCGGCTGAAACTGCAGCTCCCGGGATGGGAAGGTTACGGGCTCCGGAGAGCTGGCTCTTGTGGGCACACACTGATTTGCAAGTGAATGAAGTGGGAGGGAGCAAAGAGAGGAGGACTTTGTTAAAGAGGCCCAGAGCCTGCCCCCGCCCGCCCCCTCCCCTTGACAGAATGACTCCCAGTGTTTGAAGTCCTGAGCAATTCGCTCTCTGTAACACTCCCTCAGCTCCAGGCTTTTCCTTCGTTTTCTTTCTTTCTTATTTATTTTTTTTGGGGGGACGGATGGGTGGGTTATGTCATATTGAAAACTTGTGCGACTTTATCTGATCCCTTTTGTATGTTGTCAAAATGTACCTTGTACTATTATCAGCAAAGGTCTGATGTTCTTTTTTTATTCGACCAAGCAATTACGATTCCCAGGGACACGATACCGTGTCTTGCTGTGCGTTGGCCAGCTTCGTGAGATAGCACGCGTAACATGCACACACACAGAACAACCCCGGTCTCCTGAGATAGCAATACCGACGGCTGTTGTTTGCAACATAAACAGATGCAAGCAGACACAGATTCACAATGCTTTTCCATCTCTGCTTTCAGAAAGTCGGATTTTAATATAGCCCCACTATCTGTGGTACTCTTGCGGAGTGAGTAACCCCAGGATATTGTAGCATGAAGCCATACTTCCCTAGGCTTGCAGAAACGTTCAGCTCAAAATCCAAGCCCTTCAGGCTTGCCAATGACTTAATGGCTGATGCCATATTTCTAGATGATCTGATGCAAGGATCTACAAGACTTGCAGAAGAGGGGTATATGATGCCATTTAAGATCTTTTTAAATTTTTTATTTTTATTTGTAGAATCTTTCTGGAAACTTACAGAAGTAGGATAATCTCCAGATAAAACTCTTTGGTACACATGGCTATGCGAATGGCTGTATTTACAGTTACAAAGAAGTGACTTCTAATGTTAAGGTACTAAGCTGCAAAAGCCTTAAACATGTCCAAGCACTATTAAATGAGAGTGACAATTTTCTACATAGGAGACGTAGACATGATGGAGTCAGGTGATGTTGGATTAGGAAAATTAAATCTAATTACCACAGTGATTGCAGCCGGGGTCAGTAGCATCCCATGCCAGCTGTGTTTGTGTATGCTGCAAGTTCTCAGGGAGATTTCCATTGCATAGTGCTCTAAGAAATTCCAGGCCAGTTGGCCTCTGAGCAGTTAAATTGGTTGGAGGTTGGTCTTATTCCCAAGAGAGCTCTTACTAGAAAACCTTTTGTGTCTCCAATAGAAGTCCAGGCATTTAAATAAAGCCAAAATCAAAGTATTTCCTCTAGGCAGCTAGTGCTTCAAAGAAGTGTGTGTGGAATGGTTTTAGCACAGATGTTCTGCACATGCACGGTGGAAAGACTTTGAGTTTCATTCTTGAAAAGATCTCCCCCTAATGAAGAATTGACATCAATTTACCAAAAGAGGCTGAACATTTTCTCTTCATGTAGTTATTTAAACTAGAAGGAAGCTGTTTTGCATTCATAGTCCACACCTCTGATTACGAATTTCTTATACATTTAACTTGAAAAACTAGCTTTTTATGTCCATATAGTCCTTTACTGTTCAAAAACTACTTTAATAGTCTATTTTATCTAATTCTATCAACAAGTGGTGTGACTCCCCCCACCCACCCCCATTAAGACAGAGAAAACTGAAGACACAGCGGAGATTAAGTAACATGTCCAAGGCAATCAAACCAGGAATCACAGGGTGGAAAAGATTATTGGCCAAACTGTGTGCAGATGTGGGTGCAGGCAAATGTACTGAACCACAAGTTATTTGTGTATATATAATTTATCAACTTATTACCATATATGATAAATTAGTAAAGGTGCATGTAATATATAAAGATGTCAATAAAAGTAAGTTATATCTTAAGATTGCCTGTAGCAGACAGATATACAAATTAACTGATTTTTTTGGTATAAGAAGAATCATAATGAAGTTGATTTTCCATCCATTGAACCAGTTAATATATTACAAAGGAAATCTCTAATTGTTTGCCATATACCACCTTTCAAATCCCATAAAGCTACCAATCAAAGATAGTTAAAATGACTACTTTTTAAGAATGAACAGATAAATTTGCTTCTGAGCAGTTCAAGTGACAGCATTAATTACATAAAGGATAGCACTTTTTGTATTACAAAATTTTATGTGATTTTTTTGAGGCCTCCTAGTAAGATATAATACCCTGAAGTATGGGATCGATGCAAATATGCAGAGTTAGTTTATCCAGGAAACTTAAGAGAGGGAATTCTGCAGTGCCGCAGTCCGGCTGCAGCAAAATAACTGGGGGTGGCGAACAACTTGTGTAGCTTGATACAGCAGAAGTAGGAGCCGTTTATTGTAGGACAGGAGCTGTCTCTATATATTCCACACAGCTTATCTTAATTAACATAAACTAGGAATCTCCACACTTAATGGCTCACTGGCATTACTCCACAAACCACTCCCCCTGGCAAAATGCCAGGTGCCATCCCGACTTGTTTACAGACTCTAACGCTGCAGGGCTGTGGGAAAGGCCTAGAAGCAGGTTCTGAGAGGCCATCAGCACTCTCCTGTTTGTGCTTCAGCCTGTCTGGTCTCCCAGCACACTGGCCTCCTCTGTTGTTCAGTCCACAGGGCAGAGAAACATCATCTGTAGTTCCAGAGCTTAGCTGTGGGGGAAAAGAGTGAATTTCTTCTTTTGCTCCTTTTCCAGTTTCACAGAAAGCAGCTCTGATTGGTCAGGCAGTTTCTGGACCTGGGGCTGAGTGTGGGGAAAGAGGCAGCAGAGGGTTACAAGGTCTAGGCTGGGCCCCCTAGGGTCCCCACAAGGGGAGCATTAGGAGGTTTCTCTGTGTTCTGGGAAGGCAATCCACAAAGGTCCCATTGCCCACGTTCTCGTTCTCTTTAGTAGTACCATATGGTTAAAAGCAGCTCGTCAGTTTTCATGCTATTTCATTATTTTATATGTCTTAATCAAAATTACCTTACCTTTCCTTTTACAGCTTGCAAAGTTTTACTTTTAAAAGAATCTCCTTTATAGACCATTACTAGGGATATTAATTTTGATGAAAGATTTTCTAACTGAATCTCTCTTTAGATGATTAAGAGACTATCTTATCTTTATAAAGGGACTCATATAAATAAGTAATCACAAATTCCATGACTTTTTTTCAATAATATACATCTGTATGCAGTGATTATCTGATTAAAAAAATTTTCATGATAATTAACAATTATTTTTGATTAGAAGAAAAGAATTTACTTTTGAAGCCATGTGCCTGGTTAAGAATGTTGACATCACTGGTCTTGACTCTACCAATCCAAATTGCCAATCTAAAACTTACCTTAGTGTGCTGCTACTAGAAAAGGTGCATCCATCACTTTCTTGAGACTTAACTGTAGTGTGCAGGAATGAAGGGATTTCAATGAGGAATGAATGCCCATCCCCCACTCTGCCCCCTGTGTGTGTGACAGTGCATGTGCATGTGTGTGACAGTCAAAGTAAACATATTTAAGGAGGAAGAAAAGCTTTATCCACTCTAAGTATTATTGAACTGAAACAAAGGAGACAGGAAACCTCGACGGAATTCCCTTTTGTGAGAGCCACAAGACATCTCAATACACGGTAAAATAAATTCACACAAACTACATGTGCTTATTCAGGTTTCTAATCCTGAGAGAGCCTCCAATCCTGTATTTAAAGTGGTTTGGGTCCCACGATGCATTAAGACATTTCTCTCTTGATCATTATATTTGACTCATCACTATAGGTAGATTACAATAGGCCAGGAGATTTCCAAAGGAGATAAATGCATAGCAGCGAAATGCTATTGACCTACACAGGGTATTTTAGTACTCTGGGCATTTCAGGGAGGTAGAACAGACTTCAATTTTGTTGAATCCTTTTTTACATTGTATTCACTGCTTTGTAGTAAGATAATTTGCCTGATCAGATTTGTACAACCCAAGTTTAGTAGATTGAGAATCAAGCTCATACTATGACAATGAAAGGACTTGTCCTTATTTAGAAGAAACCACCCATTTGGAGAAAATGTACTCTGCCAGTATGTTCTTTTAAGTAAGTGGTATACACCAGAATAAACACAAAATCCCACGTTTTCCTCCACAGGGGAAAAATAATGCTCCTCTTCCACCAACCCACTTCCCAATTATAGAAGCACTTGCTGGGAAGAGTGACAGGCTGAAGTGGGGAAGACAATATAATAGCATAGGTTCAAAAATATTTTGGGATTTTACAGATTGTGAGAACATCAAAATTTCACAGTATATCATGGCTGTCAAAGAGAAGACAATGATGAATATGAGAAGATGGAAAGAAGATTACCCTCTGTATAGGTATAAGAATTCTATTTAGACTAGACCACTCCTCATCTACAGCCTTTTGTTCCTCTTTGGGCACCACACTTAAATACTCTTCTCTTTTTGGCCCCATCTCTTGTGTTCCCATTGTGCATCCTAAAATGCCTCCAGTATTTTGGCTAGACTTTACGGTTTACATGTCATTTTTTATCTGTTCATGGGATTATATGTCCATGGGATTATTGGAAACCCAGCATTTTTCTGTTTTATCATTTCATCTCTGGTACTTGAAGAAGTGCTTGGTGCTTGTACGTATGATTATGTGGAGATTCAGATAAACCAGAATGGATTTAGTAGTCAGAAACTTGAGATTGTTCATAGACTTAAGATTATTCTTATGAGCTGAGGGTGATGAATTTGGTAAAGAGAAGGTTCAAATACTTGAGGGACTGTCTTATGGAAGAAAATTAGACTAGCTCCTAATGTGCCAGGGCTTCAATTAGGACCAACTGGTGAAGCCATCAGAAGATGCTGCATTTTGTTGGTTATAAGACACCCGTGTTTTCATATTTTAACTTCACTGAATTCCTCCCACAACTGACCTGATAAGAAAGCATCACATTATGGTATAATTGGCAGTGTCTTTTCTCTCTCAAGTGACACATTAAAATAATGGTGCTACCTGTTTGTTACCTTTGGCATCTTGGATCCGATGACACGCAGATTG